TCAGATCCATCATCAGATCCATCATCAGATCCATCATCAGATCCATCATCAGATCCATCATCAGACCCGTCGTCAGAACCATCATCTGAGCCTGATTCATCATCTGAACCATCATCTGAACCATCATCTGACCCTGATCCATCGTCTGAATCGTCATCTGATCCTGAGCCATCGTCGGAGCCATCATCGTCACTGCTGTCATCTCCGCTTTCGTCGTCGGAGTCGTCATCACTGCTCTCCTCCTCGCTACTGCTGTCGTCGTCCTTTTTTTTACCCATTTTGCTTATAGTCGAGTTGCTAAACGCTTAGTTTTTATTTGTTTTGTGTAATCGACGWAACGCACAGGGGGTCGAATCTATCTCTTGAATTATGATACTTCCTCGAAATGAAACGGATAGTGGATAGATGTTAGAGAAAGTCTGGGTTCTTGTGGTTAAAAAACGGTCGCTTGCTGTGTCAAAACAAGACTTGTCAGAGGTTTCAAAATTGTTGCTGCTTCTATTTTCGTCGATGCGTTCATCAAATTCAACATTTATTTGTTCTATATAGGTCGCTACGGGCAACAAACGGGACAAGTTTTTTTTTGGCAGGATGATATTGTTCTTCGACCAAAAATCTGGTGTCAGACTCGGAGCTTTCGACGAATAAGGCACGAATAATTGTGGGGCTATTGTCTAAARGGAAACAATATAAGGGAATATAATTTTCGAGGACATTAATACTCCAAGCTCTGTCGTGTATGACACTTGTGGGTTTTTCCGCGAGTAATTTGTAGAAGTATTTCGTATTTCTATTAAAATACTTCTTTGGGGGAAATGGAAAATGTTTCAACATTTTTTTTAATTAGGGGGATAGATTATTCCTGTGAGGATATAGCTGGATCACGAGTAGCTAGTGAATAACCTCACTCTTTATTGTAAACCACKTATTATCRTGCAGTAAGGAGCCTATCRCTATTTCACAGGTTATGAGCAACAAACGGCTTACTTTGCTTCATACCTCCATCATCGACAACAAAGCCATTGAAATAAGTAGTTTGGTTTACTCCTCTTCCTGCTGCCACGGAGCTCCTACCTCGTGATAGATCTTGATAGATCTTTGCAGTGCATGCAAGTTTTTGAATATTTCGTAGAAAAATATCCTCGACACCAGTACTAAACCACGTAGAATCCTATGGTATCTTTGCTGTCACCAATTCCGAACACTAAAGTGAGACCAGAAGCCTCCGCGGCGTGTGAGGATTTAGCTGGATCACGAGTAGCTAGTGAATAACCTCACTCTTTATTGTAAACCACGTATTATCATGCAGTAAGGAGCCTATCACTATTTCACAATTCCTCCGACGTCATTACAGAACGTACCGGTATTATTCTGTTAGCATACGGTACGATACCGTAGATCGGAAGAGAGGTTTTCGGTTTATYAGTTGAAAAATCAGTCACGCTTCTAGTTGTCTGTTGCCGATACTATTCTCCCGGCCTAATCACTAATCACAGCTCGTCCTCGTACCACAAGCGGCACCCAATCATAACCAAAGCTTAATATCCAATGACCATTTGACCGCAATCTCAMGAGTACTTTAAGGCCACGCGAGAGGTATTCGTTGAGAATCGATTTCCAGAAAATGGATATCCTAGGGAGCTACAGTGAAAAACTGCGAGACTATCTCCCGTCCATACAATCACTCGAACCGAGCTCGGTYGAGAAAGACTTAGTTTCCTGGTCGTCTTCGCTCGTAAATCAACTTGCATACAGCAATATRAGGGGTRGTCTCATCGCTATTGGCAGATTTTTAGAACCGAAGAATTTGAAAAGCAGATATATTTCTTCCGTGTCTTTTGTGTCGTCCTACATCGAAGACRATCCTGTTATATTCTCAATTACAATAGRAGGGAACGAAATACAAAGATTTGTCAATCTTCCTTATCTTGGCGCCGTGTCTCTGGACACTTTACTCTTTTTCAGCTCGGTGATTTTTACACGGGCCTACCAATTTTGGAGAAATCGACGATCACCACAAATCGCAAAAGACGATGGCTGYAATCCACAWTTTCGCCCGGGTCCACGCCCCCCCCCTGTGAAAGCTACGGTCGTAAAGGGTTACAAAGACGAAAGCTTGCACAAAACAATACAGGAGTGTCAAGATGTCAAAAAATCCTTGCGTCGTGTTGTAGATCCTGAGGTGRCTCGAAAGCAGAAGAGACGGCAACTCGCATTGCAAAAAGTCACCTACAACATCGAGGGCAAGGATTCTAATAGCGGATACCTTGGAATGTCCCCGGCAAGTCTCCAAGATGCACGATTTCTTCTAAGGCAAGTTCAACCAGATCAAAGGAATGCGAAAAGGACAAACGAATGAAGGTTTCKACGATTCAGTCACTACATGMACCTACAATGGTGYGATGCTGCCATAAGGCAGCTGCTATGATAGACCAAATACTAATCTACTWAAGACATGTCTGAAATATCATCACAATGGTGTTGCTAAACAAAACCTTTCCTTTTCTGAAAACATAGGTACTTCCGAGACGTATCCAAGTATCGGCATTTGCACGTGTCGCCGACGCAGCAAATGGTRCAACAAGGACAGTTATCCTCGAAGTCGTCACAATCAGCCTGGAATTGYGGATAGGTCACATCAAAGGTTTTACACACATCAGARGGGATCGTTCCCGATAAATCATTCCCGTTGATTTCGATCGATATTAATTTGCCCATTTGAGAAAGTTCGGATGGAACCGTTCCAGATAATGAATTATGATGTAGTTTCAAGACTCCTAAAWTTTGGTCAAAAGGAATGCAATGACCAATGAGAATCCCATTAAATTGTTTTGTTTAGGATCCTTGGACCAAATTCAACAGGAATACTCCAGCAACGATACAGCATACAATCTTAACTTACTGAGATCAGAAAGCCAYCCTAATTCTGTTGGTACCGGTCCAGAAAGCTCATTGCGCGAGAGATCCAGCTGGTCGTGTAAGCTTTTGATACTAGCGAGCTCAGAGGGGATGCTACCGCTTAGGCTATTATTATGAAGCTCCAAACGACCTGTATGTAAAAATTGGTAGATAATTTAGATTGACAAAGTTTTTGTCTATCAGATGCAAACGAAATGGTGTCAAAATACGCAACCAATATGCACATTCCAGTCATAAAAAACTTACGTAGATTTCGAAGCCAACCGAGCTCTGTTGGAATCGCACCCATAAGACTTGAATCTCTGAATGATATTATATCGGCAGATTTCAACTCCCCTAGTTCKGTAGGTAGGAAATTCAAYACATTTCCTCCACCCCTAATGGCTTGAAGGTCTTTGAGATATCCTATTTCTGTTGGAATGTCTGAAGCGAAATGGTTGTATTCAAAGAACATCTTCCTGCAGTTTCTCATCATTCCCAWTTCAGTGGGAAGACTTCCAGAAAAGAAATTGGCACTGATATCAAACGACGTTARGTCAGCGAAATTCCCAATTTCTGACGGAAGTTTCCCTTCAAAGTTATTTCGTGACAAATCTAACTCGCCCAAATTTTGACAGTTTCCGATCTCAGATGGTATTGCTCCATCCATGTCATTATTTCGCAAAACAAGAGTCTTCAATTGACTAAGATAACCCAATTCCATCGGCAGTGTTCCTTGTATGTAACTATATGGACCTCCATGAAGAGTRATGGTTTTCAAGGAAGACAATAACCCTAATTCCCCAGGTAGAGAACCACCAAGGTTGTTGAGATCAAGTTCCAGATGAAGCAAGTCTCCTTTTGTATTACATGGAGATTTTTTCTTGTTGAACCATTTACATATCGTTCTATCACTAAGCCATAGGTCATTTAATAGCCATTGATCACCATTTGTTGCGTAGTATAAGGTAGCCATCGCAAACCTTTGCAATTTCTGTTTTTCTGAAAATTTAGACAGCTCGTAATTTCTGTGTAGCCAAACATAAGCCCTATATTGTGGAGACTCCGTATCATTGAGCGCCTCCCCGTCGTCAAAGGATTTTTCTTTTAAAAAGTTTAGCAAGGGAGRTGACAGCGGCGCGGAAGAATGCTTTGCGGTGGGAGCAGGTGTTGGTACTGGAGGAGTCCATCCTGCATCTATAACTTCAGCCGGAGAATTYGGGTCTACMATTTGCAAGTAATATTGCAACCTTCCAATTTCGATCGCAAGTTCCATCGTGTCTTTGAATTGTTCCCACGTGTTCTCGGCATCCAACAGAGAAATTTTAGCGTTGACCTCCTGGCACAAGCTATCTTCAGTTACATCCGTTGGGCACGGCACATCAGATACATYAGTAATTGTTGTAGGTAAGAGAACCTCCGTAAGTCTCCTTTCTCCTCCACTTCTCCTCTTCTTGATATTCAACAGAATGTCATCAGTGAGTAAATCCATGCTTCTGATCAATTCCGGTACATAMTCTGATTGGGGAATACGGTTGACGCGGCCGTTTGTAATGTAAACATCGTACGGGATGTTAAAGGAATTGATACTCAACGCCGTAGGAAATTCCGATCCACTATTCGTCGGAGAAAGAGAAGGTGAGTCCATATTTAACGGCATAGATGTCTTCGTTGGATGCAATGAGGACTCTGAATGGAGTGCACTTGGAGCTGATGTTCTTTGTTGAGCGGGACTGATGATTGCGCTTGGTGAAGGTGTAGGGACTGTTTCTTCGCGTGGGTAAAACAAAGTTCCTAAAACAAGAGCAAAGCCAATGACGAACACTATGATCGCCATGAGTAACAATATCCTCTTGCATCTTGATTTTGGAGTTATTCCCTTCGSTGGAGTAGGAGTCACTTCATCTTCGTTGTCGTAACTCCCGGGCATTTGAGACTTGTCAAATTTAACGAAGTGGTCTTTGTCACCGGGTAGGGGTGTAAGAACATCATCAGATTCGTTTGCGTGTGGTGTTTCTGGGTCGTAAAAAATATCGTCATCTCCATCGTCGTTTAGGATCGTTACAATCGTGGACGGATCATTTATTTTTGGCGGCTTCTCGTCCTTGGACTTACGTGCCTGAGCCGCGGCGGGAGCCACCGACCCTGTTTTCTTGGACGCAACTTTCGATTTATTGGATGGCCTTTTCGCCGAAAGAAGGGCAGTGATGGCTTCTTCCCGCGAAAGGTCGTCCCCGGTTGATAGATGGATCTGTTCTGAGTTCTGGCTTATAGGGGACAATCCAAAAATGCTATCATCTCCAATGTCATTGTCTCGCGGTGGAGTTGAAAATATTTCTTCCTCTTCTGACTCCGATTTCTTCTCCCGTGAGCTTTCCTTGGCAGCATCGGGGGATTCTGTAGCGCTTATGAGCGGCATAGTGCTTCGCTCAGGTGTGATGGAAGACAGGTTTGGATTTTCATTTCCCGAAGGTGTAAAAATTGTATTCAGATGTTCTAGGACGCGCCTTGAATGATCTACGTCACGTTTCGGGGTATACRTCGATTTCTTTCTTCCTCTCGGGGTCCCTCCATCATCAAACCTCTCGGCAAAAGAGAGGAAAGACTGAAAAATACTTGGGTTKTCGTTTCTGCTCGCTGTTGAAGACGATGTCGGCGATCCCCTACTGCTATCTCCAGATCCCATATCCACAGACGACAATTGAGATTCTCCCCTTGCAACAAAGCCGAAAGGATCAAACGTCGAACTCGAGTTAGATTCGGGGGACGATTTTTCCGACTGCTTTTCCTTTAGTTCTACTTCCTTGTGTTTCGTGATAGGTGTCAGGTGGACCGGGTCTACTTCTTTCMTTCCGAATCGCTTGGCGTARCTTTTTTGGTCRACTGAAGAATTACAAGATTTTTTCGTTTCTGTCTCTTCCTTTTCGGTTTTCCCCTTCACAGACAAAGCGRTTGTTGGCGGTGCCTTCAAATTCCCCTTCCCTTGAATATTCAAGGGGCGTGGGCGGGGCTTTAGTGCCGTTGTTGCTTGYCCTGTATATTTTTCTGATTCCCCACTGGACGAGCCATCGACATGTTTGGACACCACCTGAATCCCTTTTCTGGCCGCCGGTATTGCCGTTGTAGGTTTTACTTTCCGATCTCTGCGGTTCTTCCTTGGATCCTCTTCCTGTTCGACTTGMGCAAAGCTCGATGGGTTTGGCATCAATCGGCCCGGTGCCAAGTCTTTGACTTCCTCTTGACTGGGAACAAAGGTTATCTCATTGTGATCTCCGTCTCCTTGTAAAGTAGYAGATCTTGTTGTTGTTGCGCTCTCGTCTTCCCGTCTTATATTGAGCGGCGTATATTTCGTTTTTTCGCGTTTACTTCCCTTCTTCTCTCTCTTCTCCTTTTCTATTGGTACATTCTTTTGTTTTTCCCTTTCCCTAGGAGGTGTGTTGAGTGATTCATAATTTACATTCTTCTTTATTTTGGTCCTCGTATTTTTCACTTTCAATGATTTCTTCGCAGCGGGCTTTCGATCTAATTCTATTTCTTGTGCAGCTGGCGTTGACGCTGTGGCTTCGGTTTCTCCGAGTTCTTCGTCTTTGCTTCTTTTTTCCGGAGAGAAATACTCGTCACCCGAATGGATTGTCGCATTGGCACTRCTCATGCTCGGAGAGTAATATTCGTCGCCCGAATAGATCGTCACATCCTGGCTTATGTTGGGACTGATGTTGCTACTGCTACTGCTGGTTTGTAGTGCAGATTTCCCCATCATTTTTGGGCGTGGTGGTCTGTCGACGGTGGAAGCAGAAGCAGTCACTTTCTTCTTTCGTAACTGTCCGATAGGAGAAAAGTTCGGAGGGTGGTGATCTTCGGCTGTCAATAAGGGTCTCCAATCACTGCTGTTATCTCCTTGTGGTGATGCTGCCGTTCCACCTTTCCAGTCAATGCCACTGGAGTCATCGCCGCCGCCTCCTAACAATGAATAGTCGACCTTGGACAGCTCTTCTGYCAGCATAATGCGACTCGCTTCCAAGTCCTCCATTTCTTCGTCTAGGTCATCGTCCGAATTGAATTCGTTGAGGGGCGTGTGTGCCAAGTCCCCTAGCTGCTGTGAGGGTGTTGCCAAGAGTTCGTTTAGTCGTTCTACCTGCTCGACAAATGGTTCCTTGACGCTGTTGGAAGTGGAAACACTGCTAGCATCCGAACTTTCTGCAGAAACAAGGCTTCTATTCTCGCCTACTCCTGCAAGACCGAAGCTGTCGCCGGGGGAGTGACCATCTGCCCTATTCGGGGATGTCGAAGAAAAGGACGGAGGCGACTGCGGACTGAAAATGTCGGATATCTTACCAAGCGGATTGAACTTTCGTCGAGATGGGGTCCTGTGACTGGCGGAGCGGGGCGTCGTCGACGAAAGTCCAGAGAGTCCAGATCGAGATCCCGGTGKCCGCCGCTGGCGTCGCCCCGAGGATCGTCGTCCTGGGGTTTTCATTGCTGACGAAGCCGATCCGGGGGTTTGAAATTGATGTTGCCCTCTKCCTGTAATAGCCTGGGAATATTGCTGTGAAGATGGTTGGGATCCAGGAGATWGGGCGGCGGCTTGTTGYCGTCGACCCGCCGAGGGTTGCGGTGACTTTTTTGCGTCCCTGCGCGAGGGCGTGAAGAACAGCCGCCTCTTTCCCGGTTTCGTGGGTGTTTCTTCCACCCTCCTRGCAATCTGCTGTGGAGGCGAATCAGTTGCAAGCTCTTCGGCAAGTAAAAGAGTCGCTGCTGCCCTGACGGAGGGGGGAGTCGATTCGACAGTAGAAATGGTCGTCGATGCCAAAATGTCCGTAGGTGGAGGGCTTTGCGAGGAAACGGATGCCGTCATCGAAATTGGTACGGGATACGGTTGTTCTCGTTGTTGTTGTTGTTGTTGTTGGGATCCTGACATTCCGCCTGCCGAGACTGCTGTCCTGGGCTTGGGAGCTGCTGGCAAATCTTTCATTTCCATTCCCTCGGGGGATTCAAAACCATGACGGCGCTTGTCCGAAGGCCTCGAGCCTACTTTTCTCTCCTGGTCCATGGCTGCTATTATACAATGTTATCGAATGGATTGGGATCCTACTGTGCGCCATCGGTTGTCCCCAGGTCCCACAATAAGAACTAGGTCGACTCCCAGTGGCTGTTCGTTGGAATTGTTTCCGATTTTGGGTGTTCCCCAAAGTCTTACCCTATCGAGAACAAATATGCTTTGCGTGTGTGTCGTGTATGGAACACCGTTCACGGCTGTTCAGATTCCAAGTTTATCCGGGTTATTGTTGGAGTTACAGGCGCTCTCGCGTGCCAAGTCTGCTTGCAGTTGTCAATAATTCATTACATTTTGTATGATTCAAAGAAATTTCGGTGAGAAATAAGTGTGAGAGCATTAATATAATTCAAATTCCAATTTAACGCTATAACGGTAAAGTGATCGCAAGGAGTGTCTTACCATGGGAAAGAGCAATTAAAAAAATGGTATACTTCCTTATAATCAGAAGCTATCTCACAATTCTGTATTGAAATATGCCAAGAAAGAAAATATTTTGGTTACTTAGGGATGGCGGGAAACGCGAAGAAAATTCTTCAGCATTTGTCATGATGGAAAATTTGGCCTACTAGCCAAAGCTACTAGGGTACGAGATGACCTTCTTTTCTTGTACGTACGGTAGGCGTACAGAGTAACTTATGCGTAGGTAATTTGTATATGTATCGAAAGTATGTGCAGGAGATAGAGCCGAAACGACCAAACAACAAAACGATCTGCCAGATCTTCTCTGCCATACCTGATTGTCGAATAACAACATTTCAGAGACTCACCTCACTGATGTCTTGCTCCTTTTGCATCCGCACTCACAATCTGCTTCTATTCCGATCCGGATTCAATTTTCGCCGTTCACTTTTCTGCTCTTCGGTGTTTCGTATCGCGTTTCCGAATTGTATTCGGTAGTGGAATTTCGGCCTCTGTAGGACTTCCTCTCTTTCGGCGCTTTTCTGGTATTCTTATTCGCGCGCTCTTATCCTACCGTCTCTTATCCTTTTTGTATCTGCTTGGCTCGAAATGAATTGGCAAGGGTGGTGCCGTCTCTCTTATTTCCAGAAAAGCAGAAAACTGATTTCTGAGACGCAAACAACACGTTGGGAGCTAATTACGTGAAAGAGCACAAGTGGTAGTATTATGAGGGTATGGTACGAGGAGTACGTACTAGGTAAAGTACCAGAAATGCATTCCTAGGAAAATTATTCAGCCAGCAATTAACCCTCCTGTTTAACCGTTGTGGAATCATTGATAATAGCTGAAATAAATTCTATCCAACGTCTACTGTACGACGTACGGTGGTGGGCACATAAGCATTAATCTTATTTACGATCACACTGCGCGTGCACGTCCGAAGGTGCTCGATATTGAACATTGAACTATCATCTGATTTTTTAATACCGTGAAAAAATCAATGTACGTTCTGGTACAGCAAAGAAAGATACCTTTAGCTATCGTATCGATAGGACGCAAGCGGGATGCAATATGGCATCAGTTTGAAATTCTTTTGCCGTCACTACTTTGTCTTGCGATTAAAACCTGCCAGATAGTACGGCACTCAAATCCTGTCTACATCCAATTTTGTTCGTCAACGGAATCAACTAATATTAGGCTTGAATCTATAACTCGAGACTTTTGTGTCAAAATCCGAGGCCTAATCTAGAAGTTTTGAATGTGATGCCACAGTGTTCGATATATTCTCGTGATAATCAAACGAGCCATTACATAATTGGGGCTTTGCTTTGTAGTGGGAGATCAGTGTAAGAGAGCTTTAGAAATCTTTGTTCCAATTAACGGAAGGTAGAAGTAGGAGAACGGAGTACAAAAAAGAATGCAGGATAAAAAAATCGATTTGAAGTCATTTAAAAAACRTTTTGGAAATTCTAGTGCATACAGAAGTTTCATGTAGTGACACTATTTTGTAGGATAAAGATCAAAGTGGAAAAAACATTTCTACCAAGCATTTVAAATTGTCTTGCATGAGATTATTGCATATTATTGTGCAATACTTCTAGGATTCATAGTCCATAAGACCAAGTAGACTTTGACTTGTGGTTCCAACAATTTCAATTGTGCTTGCTCACTTGGTTGAAAGTGCATCTGCCAATTTATCTGACGCTCGGACCATCGCATCGACCAATCCAGGTTCGGAATCGGAATGTCCAGCAGCGCTCACAAATTCGCAGTTCACAGATTTGCACCCTGCAGTGCGCAAAGCCTGGGTGAGTCTCCATGCAGCCTGTGGTTGACAAACATAATCTGCACGGCCATGGCATATCTCAACCATCATCTTGGATATCTTTGGTACATTGTCCAACAATTGTCCGCGGCGAAGAAATCCGGCGTTGAGCATGTAGTGAACCTAAACGTATATATCATTGGATAAGTGGTTCATCAGGCGACACAAAATAATACAAAAAAAGAGGAACAACTCGACTTGCTTAGAAAAAATTTTGCAACGGGAGGTGACTATTCCGAAACATACCGATAAGTGGAGATTGTGCTCTATTCTCCATACAATAGCAGCTAAAGTAGCCACTGTCGCACAAGTGACACGTACCTCCATGACTGCAAATGGAATCAAAATGCTGGGAGTCCCCAAATATTCTTCAATCACAGCGGGGTCAACAAAGGTTTTGCTGATAGATAATTCGTACCCTACGAAAGCGGCCGCCGCCGCTTCCCTTGTGTCTTTGTTGTTTGATGTAAGTCGATTCCAATATGCCCCCAACAAATTTGTTTGCTCTCGTGTCCAATCTTCCGATGTGTCACGGATGTATCTACAATAGTTGTCCCAGGCTTCTGGATTTTGACCGTAGGTTCCACCATTTTGAAACAAGTAATCAACCTCTTCTGGACTAAACAAAAATACCCCGCGGAGCAAGAGGGAATCGACGTCTTCCGGGTATTGCTGAGCGTAAGCCAATGCTAGAGTACTGCCCCAACTTCCACCCAGAACGACTCCCCATTTCTCTACAGAGAGATGTTTTCGAAGGGCATCAATATCGGCGACGAGTTTTTGGGTATTTTGCCCAACTAACGATGCCTCCAGGTCATCGCAGGCGTTGGGGATGCTCTTTCCAGCTCCACGTTGATCGAAAATTACGATCATGTACTTGTCAGGGTCGAAGAATCGACGAACCCGTGGGCTGACACCACCTCCTGGACCACCGTGCAGAAAGACGGCGGGAATGCCATTGGGGTTCCCACTCACGTCGTAGTAGAGTTTGTGGCMGTCGCCAACGTCCAGGTAGCCGTCTTGGTACGAATCAATTTCGGGATACAATTGCCTGGGATACTCGACTGGGTCGGAAACCTGATTGGCGGCATCCGAAGCTGGTGGCGAGACGTAGGAAGTGTCGGCTGAGAAGGCATTGGCCTTCGTGGAGGTCGTGGATGCTGTCATGATCGTCCACAAGAGAAAAATCTGGAGGATGAGTATTGGCGACACAAAAGCAAAGGATGACTGAATCCGAAAAGATTTGTTGTAGCGGGACGAAGGCATCGTTTGGCTTTTGCCTGTGTTATCCAAAGTTTTCTTTTCTGCCGGCTGTCTTACAACTACGAGACCTACAGAAGGAATAAGGAGGCACACTTCGACGGCGCTGATGAGACGAGGTTTCGTTTCGTTTGGATTCTGGATCTTTCTAAAAAATGCCACGTCCTCCAGTACCAAGTAAAGTACAGTACCAAGTACTTCTACCGGTAATAGAAATACTTTTACTCCCTCTGTCCCATAAAATATGTCCGATTGGAATCTCAAAGGTTGAAATAATAATATGTTTCATATTTCATATTCGCTATTTGAACACTTCTTGTTTTTGATATTCTAGTAGCATTGAATGGTCTATGCTTCTAGGAGGTACCCAGGTAGTGAGGTTGGAGCTTCCCCTCACCAAAAAGTACTTTGTTGAAATATGGAAGTGCTTGCAATTCAACTTCTTCTTCTTGGTCGTGGTGGTGCTGCTGGTGCTACTGCGGCCCGTCTCCTGCTGTCTTCTTGGTGGTGGTACCCATCTCCTGCTGCAGTGTACCCTTGTTGTCCTCCTCCTCAAGGAGGAGGATGACTGCTGAGGGTTCTTGCAGCAGCACCAACACCTCCTCTAGTAGCTATCRTGCTGTGTGTTACTAGTACTAGTAATGCCCTGTTGTTTGAGAACAGAAATGTTTATCCAACAGACRAGCAACAAGATGATGTTATTCTTACTAACTACTAGTACTGGTACTACTAGTATCCTCCCTCAGGAAGGGGGGTTCCCTGCCCCCTCTGTTGCTGCTGTGATGATGCAACATTGCACAGAGCAACTGCTAGTAGTAGTATGATGGACAGCACTAGTATTAGTATTAGTAGTAAAAGATTGTTTTTCCTCCTGTTCATGAGTGGTGCTGCTGGCCTTGCTGCATAGATTTCATCATAGATGCTGTAGCCCTTCTTCTTGTTGTTGGATGTTTCCAGATGACATCCTGCAAGCCCAAAAATAACATCTAGTTACTGACGCACATTTTTGTACAGCAGAAATATTCCTGGATCAAAAATATTGAATGTACTTGCTTGGCAGTGCCTCCTCCATACTAAGTACTTCTACTATTAGTAGTAGCTATTGAACTCTTTCAATGAATTGGAATCATAGTAGCAGATGACAATGTCTTTGCTTGCTCCTACTATTGTCCATCAAGTACTACTACTACTAGTAGTAGTAGTAGTAGTAGTAGCATCAAACTGTTATAATTTCTTCTTTAGTTGAGTATTGTCAGCAGCAGCAGCAGCATGCTAGTAGTAGTGGTGATGATGTTCTTTACTACTAGTAGTATTTGTACTACTACTTATTGCTGTCCCCTTCACCAGTAGTAGTAGTACTAGTAGTAGTAGTAGTAGTAGTAGTAGTAGTAGTANTAGTAGTAGTAGTAGTAGTAGTAGTAGTAGTAGTAGTAGTAGTAGTAGTAGTAGTAGTAGTAGTAGTAGTAGTAGTAGTAGTAGTAGTAGTAGTACCAAACTGCTTTGATATGCTTCTACTAGTAGTAGTTTGCTGGTGGTCCCCCTTGAGTAGTACTACTACTAGAAATACTAGTATTGCTCCTACTAGTACTACTACTAGTAAAACTAATACTAGTAGTAATATGATTGAACTCTTTCTATCATACCTTTTCTTGAGTATTGTCATTGCTCTCACATTACAACAGTCCCCTTGCTGAGCAGCAGCAGTAGTAGTATTGAATTTCTGTTTTCACTTCTTGCTTGCTATCAATGAATGATTTCTGTCATGATGGTGTAGTATGATAGGAAGAAGAATGCATTGCAAGCATATTAGGATGCTGTTTCTTGCTGTTCAGTAGTACTAGTAGTATGAAAAAACAAGAACAGCAAGAAGAAGTACGAAGAAAAATGTCATGTTGCTCCCCGTCCTCTTCCTCATTTTCTTGCTTGTTCTTGCTGGTGACAAACTTCTTGTTCTTCTAATGTGATACATCATCCTTGCTTCTTCTTCTTGCTGCTGGCTGCTACTGCTGGTGTGGTCGTGTTTGTGAAGAAGAATGTGTACTGATGGTAGTAGTAGTACTACTAAGAAGAAGGCAGGAGGAGCAACCGCTTGTCCTGTTTTTCTTTGCCTTCTTGAGGAGGATGTTACTACTAGTAGTAGTACTTGCTCAGGCTATTACTAGCAGCAGTAATCATTAGATATAGAAGTGGAGGATAGTATGTTGCTAGTGATGCTGTAGTCCTGGACCACAGAGCTGTATCACAACATGTAGTAGTACTAATAGTAATAGTACTAGCAGTACTAATAGTAGTAACGGTAGCAATAAAAAGGACAAAAGGAAAAAGAAAATTGGAAATTATCATTTTTTTTATTTTTTGTGACTCTCGAGGGGTTACAATTAAAGTTGCGCGAATAATTGTTGAGAATCTGGAACGATTTGCCGCTGAAACACATGGGGTACGGTATGCACGGTAACGCTTAAGTCTTATCGTACGACTAACTGTACCGGTAGGAGTACCGTAGATCCGAAATTGCTTCCCTCTGTGCTATCCTACCAGTACTGGTATCAGGTAACGTATTTTAAAGCGTACACTCAGTCGTGTCTTCAACTTCATCGCTAGCCAAATTTGACGAAGAAAAAATCTCTCTACTACTCGTCAGACTGAAGTAGAAGTAACAGGCACGTCCTGTACAACTCTCGTACGTTACGATACCTTCTGAACCTGAGGCAATCATGGAAGTCACAGGGCACACGGAACCAAACAATAATGCATGGTGTGGCTGTGACGAATGATTCAAATATTGGAGGTACGAGGACTCACTAGGTATCAATTATGATACACGTTAAAAGTCAGTGATTAACCGAAGCGCGACAAGCGAAGTACGCGGCATCGTAGACTACCAAAGAGACAACTTGCCGAGAGGAATCTATTTTCCCTCCAATACACCAACCATCCTCAAAGACGAGAGAAAGAAGTGATCACCATGTCGTCTTTTTCGGACGACAACAACTTTCGACCGGTAGCAGGGCGTCGAAAGCGACCGATGCGGATGCGTGTGAAGAAGTACAACGTCGATGCTAGCAACAACTACATTGCAATCGATATGGCGGGAAGGGTTGAAAGCACGGAATATCACGACCAACGACCTCGTTCTCGTCCGGCTGRAAACGATGCTGCCAGAAGCTCCCAAACGACTTCGAACGTGGCGTTGCTACCACTCATGGAGGGCAGCGAAAGCAAAAGCCGCAATGTTATACGCAACGGAATAGAGACGGGGAAACACTCGGATGAATATTCCATGCGGGTGGCGCCATCGTTGTTCGAATCATCAGTATCGGATTCCGCGGAAGCCTCGTATCCATCCGAATCGTCCGAATCGTCTGTTGTTTCCGAGTCGGATTATAGCGATGCAACCAGCGAGGACGTAGAAGACGAAGCGGTTACGGAAGCAGCATCCGTGCTGGCAAAATACGGAACTTCCGAGACGAGGAGTGCCCACCACCGAATGTTGCTAACAACGTTGACGTCGTCGACGTCCACTTCGTCGCCCTCAATGTCGTCCACCATACACAAATCTTGCGAAACCCCTGGCAAAGATGGTTCCGAAAGCAGGGATCGTCAGCACCATCCCATCTCGGCTAGGTCTATGGGATCATTGCCATCGTCGGAGGCTGATTCGCGGCGACAATGTGGCGACACACACGCGATAGAAGAATCGGGACCTGCGGACTGCGTTAGCGATCGCGATCGCGATGCAACAACAATAGGAGCGTCTGATCAGAAAGAGCTTTTGGCGAAATACCAGAATATATACAATCCACCAACGCCAGAACATGACGATCATACTATTGAATCGAATTATAACTCGGGGGAGGGAGAAGAAGATGCAAAAGCTAATAGTAACGGGGGGGAGGGAGAAGAAGACACAAAAATTAATTGGGGCAACATAGATGAAAACGACAATAACAGCGACAACGAAAACGAAAACTACAACAACGACTACGACAATGTCAACAATAATAATGACGACGACGACAATACCGATAAATACAGCCGTAGCCATGGAGACAACCACAGTGAGAACGGCATTAGTTCGAAACCCAAGTTCGGATCGAGTTGGGGCAAAGTTGATTACGAGAAAGGAGAGTGCGAAGAGTCAATGACAGGCGAAAAAGAAAACGACAAAGGAACGATTGGTGCGCAAAGCGTAGCATTAGATGACGACGGCGGGGATGTTTTCCACGACGCCGTATCGTCGCAACCAGAGGCACAACATGAGGGGAGCAAAGCATCGACGGTTAAGAATTTGATTAAATTTTACGACTCGTTTGAAAATCAAAATGAAAACGAAGATTACGAACACGTCGACAGTACCCGTGAGAATGAATACAAAGCCATAAAAGACGASAGATTTCATTCCCAGAGTCCTTCGTCTTTGATCTGTACAGAAAGGAGAGAAGAAATAGTCAGTGAATCAGTAGGTGATACAGGTCAATCGTTAGAGGATTTTAGTGTTTGTGAATCAATAGAAGATACAGGTGAATCAGCAGAGGATGTTAGTGTTTGTGAATCAGTAGAAGATACAGGTGAATCAGCAGAGCATGTCAGTGGATGTGAATCAGTAGAAGATACAAGAGAATCAGCAGAGGATGTTAGTGTTTTTGAATCAGTGGAAGATACAGGTGAATCAACAGAGGATCTGATTTGTACAGAAAGAAGAGTAGAAATAGTCCGTGATTCAGTAGAGGGTGCAAGTGAGTCAGTAGAGGATACATGTGAATCAGTGGAGGATACAGACGTTTCAACTGAGGGTACACCGACACCAAAAGATACTGAAGAAATGTTTTCCGTTCTCTACGGAATCAATCCCCCTGGCATCGGCATCGAATCACCACCTGAATCCTCGGAATCTGATTCAGGGCCTTCTGGCGAATTTTCAACGGAAGATTTTTCTTCGGAGACAGAGCCAAAATCAAAAAACTGGTTTGCGCCTTTGGGGTCCCTATTTCAATGGTGCAGGGCAGAACCAGCGTCTTCGTCTTCATCGTCTGGGGAAGAAGAACACAGTGACCAAGAAATAATAGACGAAGAGAAAGGCGAGATGAGGGAAATGACTATTAGTGAACAGATAGCAGAAGCAGCCGCAGTGATCGCAAGAAGGAGAGAACGAGAAGATAGTGAGGACCAGGGAATGAGTCTCAGTGAACAGATAGCAGAAGCAGCCGCAGTGATCGCAAGAAGGAGAGAACGAGAAGAGAACGAGGAAAAAAGCAGGGAAATAAGTTTCAGTGCAAAGATAGCAGAAGCAGCCGCAGTGATTGCAAGGAGGAGGGTACGTGAAGAGAACGAGGAAAAAAGTGAGGAAATGAGTTTAAGTGCAAAGATAGCAGAAGCAGCTGCAGTTGTCGCGAGTAGGAGGGAACGTGAAGAAAACTTGGAAAATAGCGAGGAAATGAGTATCGGTGCAAAGATAGCAGAAGCAGCTGTAGTGATCGCAAGGAGGAGGGAACGTGAAGAGAACGAACGCCGGAGTGAGTACAGTCAAGTTGAGGAGGATTTCACAGAGCAGTATTCGCAGCTACGAAACGAAGAAGATCACAATGAATTACACGAGTCAAATGTGGAAGAGACTGTGACCGAGGCATCCTTGGCAAAGGAAGTTGCTCTGATGGCACTTGCTAAAAAGAAAAGCAACTCCCAATTACAAAGTGCAGACTACTATGACAAAATATACAATCAAAAGGCAGAGGCAAATACACCAAATAATTCTTTAGAAGATCAAATTGCCGCAGCAGCTAATGCTGTGAAAATGAAAAACATTTCAACTCCCAAGACGGAGGAGTACTATGATAAGCTCTACCAACCAAGGGAAGACGCAAATAAATCAAGTGATATCCTGGCAGATCAAATTGCCGCAGCAGCAATGGCAGTGAGAATGAAAAATGGTTCATCGCCCAAGACGGAAGAAGATTATGATAAACTTTACCAACCAAAAACAAAGACAATGGCATACCAAAAAAATTCGCCCGCGACAAGCAGAGACTTCTACGAAAGCTCAGATAACAGCACAAATTACGAATGGAAAGAAGAGCGACATTCATCATACTCTTCCTATTCAAATACCTTGGGAAAACAACTGGACTACGACCTAGAAGCGTCCTATTCATCAAGGCATTCCTCTCGATCTGAACCGATTGAAAAGCCTGACATCAAAAGATGGTCGATTGGTCGGACGATGTTACTTTTGGGAGCAATACTTGTTTTGATCATAATTGGTGTTCTAGTTTATTTTCTGGTGTTTCACGGTAGCAGAAATGATCGTGACGACAGCACATCGAACGTTACAGATTATTTGAGCACTGAACCGACCCGTTCTCCCATCAAATCGCCATCTTTTCTCCCAACGGTGAAGCCAACGATTCCCGTGGATAAGCCAATAACTTCTTCTGGTCCCATTCGAACAGATCGCCCTACGTTTCAGCCATCGCGTGTTCCATCACTTCCAGATCCTACAATCCAACCGATTTTTCCTACATTTAATCCACTGCCATCGGAAATCTTTGATTCTCCAAGTCAACCTGTTGCGAATAATCCACCACCTCTTCACATTACTTTACCACCGCAAACATCACAAGCAAAGCCATCGAATCGCCCTTCATCCATAGCTTCTACTTCAGTCCCAACGGATAAGATGTCATCCCCAACTTTTTCGGCTGCGTACTTACGGCAACTCCTTATTTCTCAATGGCCCCCTCTTCAAGAGTCGCTGCGTCAGCAATTTTCACCCCAGAGCCGAGCATTCCAATGGCTCATTGCCTCGAACTCAAAAGTTAGCTATTCGCAAGAACGATTGATACAGAGATTTGCTATGGCCACTTTCTTCTTCAGTACTAATGGACAGAGTTGGTCGAACAATGATGGCTGGCTATCGGAAGAGAGTGAATGCACATGGTACCAAACGAAAAGCTATCGAGATCCCTGCAATGCTGCTAGTAGAATTCTAAATCTAGAACTGGATGGAAATGGGATTTCAGGAAGCTTACCACCAGAACTTGCTCTCCTTTCCAATAGTTTGGCTCGGCTAGACCTTGCGAAAGATACGAATAACGAGAATGGTGTCAGGAACTTTCTGCAAGGTGCCCTTCCATCTGAAATTGGTCGTTTGACAATGTTGCAATACATGAGTTTGAGCAATCAACAAATGACAGGGAAAATACCTGACGAAGTTAGCGAGCTTTCTTTACTCACAGTCTTAGACTTRGAAAATAACAGATTCCAAGGTCCTTTGATGCCGACGATTGGCGAGCTCCAGCAACTGCATAACATTTATCTTGGATCAAACAAATTGTCTGGTACTATCCCCTCTGAATTTGGACTAATGCGTTTCTTGGTCAATCTTGACCTTTCTGGGAACCACTTTTCGTCTACTCTGCCCAGTGAGCTTGGTAAACTGTCTTATCTTCAATCATTATCTCTGGGCAACAACAAAATCACGGGCACGATTCCTAGTTTTTTGGGACTTCTAACGAATTTACAGGGAAGCTTGAGCCTTGGCGACAACCTCTTAACTGGTACCATTCCCACCGACTTGGGTCAATTGAGTATGATTCTTACAGTTCTAGATCTTTCTTCTAACCAGCTAACCGGCTCAGTCCCAACAGAACTAGATCGGCTTGTGAAGTTAGGGAATCTACAACTGCAGAATAATTTGTTGACTGGAACTGTGCCTTCTTCTTTCTTCAAGCTCTCGCATCTACAGTTTCTGCAATTGGAACACAACAATCTGACTGGAGATGTCCCAAAATCAGTATGTGATACCCTTGTCACCGATAAGATTGAAAATAGAATTTCTCCAACCTATGTCCTCACAGATTGTGCATCTAAAGTGAGTTGTGAATGTTGTCAATACTGCTGCTCCGAGAGTGGCTGTGAGTGTCAGTTCAGTCATACAAATCAAGATTACCTTTGCAAATACGGGGATGGTTTGAGTCCAGGTGTTCGCATGATAGATTTACACAAGAAGTTAAACTATTGAATTATAAATTTTTCCTGTCTCTACTTTACGTGGCTAGTATCGATGGGATCGAAAAGGGTCGAGTGGGAAGAAGAGTTCTACCAAAACTTCTTTTTACAGAAAAGTGTCACTGCGTAGTGGTATTGAAGTAGACGACTACGAGCGAGAGCAAATCTTTGATTGGAAAAATCATTGAAACGTCATCTTCGAGAGTTTCGTCGAAGGTAACCACCATTTGAACCATTCAAGGACAAATTATTTCTGAAAATAATCTGCGAAGGTTTGCTCTCTCAATCATAAGTCTCCTTCGAGCTATTGGTGCGTCAAATGACAGAAAGACCGTGTTTCAACGAACATGACTTATTTGTACAGCTGTCGGTTGCGAACCATTTCAAAAAGCTCCTGTTTTCCAGAAGTCTTTTTTGGTTCACCGTTTGCCTTGGCATATTCAACACATTCTTCCAAGGTCGCCTCCCCCTTTTTTATCTTGCTAGCAAGTGGGTCTGTCTGCCAACTAAGGTATCGCTCTGCGACCATTGATTTCAGGACACCATCTTGTTTCATCTCTGCTGCCTTGCGCAACCCCTGAGCGTACGTATCCATAGCTCCAATGTGACCCAAAAATAAATCGATAGGTTCCACAGAYTCGCGGCGAACCTTGCAATCAAAGTTGAGGCCGCCAGTGACGAAGCCGTCCTGCTCTAGGAGGACAGCCATGACAGCAGTAGTTTGGGCAAGGTCCATCGGGAAATTGTCAGTATCCCAACCAAGAAGGGTATCTCCMGTATTTGAATCAATTGATCCTAGTTTACCATACAACGATGCCACGTAAATGTCATGAACCGCCTCGTGCCCTGCCAATGTAGTATGGTTGGGTTCGATGTTTAGCTGAAAATGGTCAATCAGGTCATACTCATGCAAAAATGCCAGAGTAGTCTGGGCATCGTAATCGTATTGATGTTTGGTAGGCTCCCTTGGCTTAGGTTCGATTAAGAACTGACTCGAATATCCCTTTCGTTTTTTGTAGTCCACGGCCATTTTGTACATTGCTGCCATATTATCACATTCCGTTTTAAAGTCGGTGTTGAGGAGAGATTGCTGTTGCAGTGATTCGGAAACAAAGGTAATGAGAAAGGTTGCTTTGCCGTTACAGACATAATACACCTGCGTCCATGGATTAAATCAACCATAGAGTTGATCACTCACATATCCTTCTCGACCACCCCAAAAGACGTGATTGGTACCTCCGAGTTTGTGGTTGATGTCCATAACTTTTTGGATCTGCGCGGCCGCGTAACAAAAGACATGCAAGTCGGGATTTGTCATCCCTCCGTTCATGTATCGGGGGTTGCTAAACAGATTTTGGGTAGCCCACAAGAGCTTGACACCCGTTTCCTCCTGCTTTTCCAACAGATAGTCGGTGATGATATCCAAATTAGCCATCGATTCTTCGAGGGTGTTTCCTTCGGGAGCTACATCAAAATCATGGAAGCAATAAAACTCAACTCCAAGCTTAGTGAAAAATTCGAATGCTACATCAATTCGTCTTTTTGCAAGTGCGATCCCCTCTAAATCACCTTCCCAATCACGAATGTAAGTCGGTGCTCCAAAGGGATCGGCGCCACCTCCACCCACAAAGGTATGCCAAAAGCACACGCTAAATCTCAGCCATTCCTAAACAAGATTCGAGACATAGATCAGAGGTGAATGTCACATGAAGTTTCAATGTTCAATATCGTATAAAAGAAACACCATGATGCCCGCTAACGATGTTCTCTTTGCCACTGTCGCAACCAAATATGGAACGAATCTTACCTTCATGGGTTTTCCTAAGATCACTTCATCAGGATTGTAATAGCGGAAGCTAAGTGGATCTTTGGAATCCGGTCCCTTGTATTCAACCTTGCTGATATCGGGAAAGAATATTTTGTCAGACATGGCTCTTGGTTTGTCTTACGCAGCTGGGATGCAAAATGACATGAATAGCAGTTTGAAWGCTAACTTCAAAACTGCCTTGACTACATGTCACAAACTCGTCATCTCCTACTACAGATTGAAGATGATCGGTGCTCATCCCTGTGGTACAACCTGGTACCGGTACAAGTACGTACGTACTCGAACCAGAAGGAAAAAATTGAATTGCAGTCACGTGCAAAACTAGCTGAAGGCGGTGGTAATTATTTCATTTGACACGGAAGTACAAGAGCACGACGTTCTTTGTTTGTTACTACTACTAGTAGTAGTAGTACTTCTTCAGTTGGAGTGATGGGTGAACTTATCAAAAAGAGGCTGGGCAGATCCCTTGATCACATGCCAATAAAGGGGAAGGCCAAATGTGCCATTTACAGATGGTTGGTTTTCAGGAAGGAGAGAGACAACCTACTATTGTACTGAACAATGGTCTACCTTTGCCTATGTTGCTACAAATGTCTTTGCTGGTACATTGAATTCCTTTGCCTTTGCGGATAAAATAATGGAACACAATATGAAAAATGGTCAAAAATTTGTATCAGGAGGACTCAGGAGGCATTTGGTTGCCAGGGGAGGATTGTGATCCATCTGTGCAGCACAGGCAAGAATGGTGAAAGCTGGTGGCAGACTTTGACTTATTGCCAGGTGGAACCACTGATCAGATAAAGGAGAATTGCAGGAGGATTTTGCACCTACACAATGTCTTCCACAAACTGAACTTTGGTGCAAATGATTACAACATTCACCTAGCCTCACCAGGAAAATGCCCGCACATGCATCAACTTGGGGTTGCCAAGAGAGCTCTGGATTCATTCAAGGAACAAATTTCTGGGAAGATCACTGACATTGGATATGTGCCTGGGTTCAAAGGTAGTGCAGAAATGTGCTATTTCATGGGGTTACTGGGGCAAGAGTATGGAGCTCTGCTGTCTTGGAAATCTGATTTGGATTTTTCAGGATCCAAATTTGGAATGAACATACTACTCAACAACAAGAGAAAGGAAGGTCACAACTTTGCTGGAATCTTAATTGCCACCCTGCTAGCTCTTGTTTCCAAGTGTGGACTTGACATAATAARGGATCCCACATTTGTTGCAAAGGAACTGGTATGGACTATTGTATAGCATTGTGACCTGCTTGGAAAAGAAAGATCTARCAAAGGCAATTGAGTTCCACCATAGGGGGACTTCACATAGCTTACACATGCTGTAAGCATTACTGTCACACATGTAACAATTGTTTTTGCTCCTTGACTTTGTCGGCCCAACTGCCTTCACATGATTTGCATATTCAGTCTGAGTGCAGCAAAATCTTCCAATTGCCTTGTACTCTGCAATGGTCTGCAAATTGTGATGTCCAAGGACCTCTCCATTTTTTAGGAAAGTCTTACATGCTTTTCTTCTAGTTGCCCTACAGGTTCTTAACCTTCTTGTTGCTTTTGTACACTGCCTCAATCTAGTAACACAGTTATATGACTGCTCCACAGGATTGTATTTAATCATCTGCAAAGCAAGGCTCTAGTGAAACTCATGGTAGCTCATTATGTTGGTTACCTTCCACTCCTCACCGAGTGGGGGGTCCTAGTAGTGGAAGATATTGATATATGTGTATTAATATAGGATTAAAAATGTAAGATTAAATCAGCTGGAAAAACGTGTACTAGCCACGCCTATATGATAGTACTACTACTAGTCTCACCAGAAGAAGTAGCTACTAGTACTACTACTACTACTACTACTACTACTACTACTACTACTAATAATAATAATAATAATAATAATAATAATAATAATAATAATAATAATAATAATAATAATAATAATAATAATAATAATAATAATACTAGCACAACCAGCCCATTGTCAGCACTTCAAATATCCATTTGATATCCAAGAAAATGGTATTCAGAATCCTCATTGAAAACTGCTACAGGCAAGGTAGTCAAAAACTGTATTGTTAGTATTTTTGATAAAGTTATCACTAATTGAAAGTTGAATAGTTCTTTTACTACTACTAGTATTATGCAGTAAAAATTAGATTTGAAAAAATCCAGGAGGGACTTCTTGGAAATTTGCACGAAATGTGGAACTTGAGTTTTCGATTTGTCTCGCACTCCTTTACATTGGGTGATTCCCGATATTATAGATGTGCTACTTTTGACATACAGACAGACCAAAAACATAGCACATTTATTACAAAATTTATTACGTTTGATAGAGGTCAGTTTGGTGCTATCAAATGTAATAAAATGTATGACGGAACTCCCGATTCAAAATTTTGAGTCCGTTGGAACACTCTGAAGGACTCAACAGAAAGCCYGCCAGAATGTTAAGACAGAACTCGACAAAATTAGGACGGGCATCAACAAAATTAGTAGGTTCTTTTTTCTAAACAACAAGACACGGGCATGCACCAGCCACCATAGCTAGTAGTATCAACAACATTGTAGGCGCGAGGCGCCTCTATTAGTAGTAGTAAGAATGGCGCCAATGAGGGACCGATGGAAGAAAGAGGAGTGGGAGGAGGCTGCCGGCGACCACAAAGAGGTAGCTCATTGTCATAGTAGGCAAGGCCCACCATTGTCCCAAGATGACAGGCGGTGGTAACAACAACACCAGTCGGAGGGCTGGAGTAGCAAACTACTCTCATGATGAGCTAAACAGTCTCATTGGCATGATACTTGACAGGGTTCCCATCAGTAATGATGAGTGGGATACCATTGTGGCTGACCATGCAAAGTTGTGGCCCTTCTTTAGAACCAGGACATCCATCAAGACAAAGTATCGAGCTATAAAGAGGATCAAGAGTTCAACTGGTAACCCAAACATGCCAGAGTACGTGAAGATGGCACGGCAGGCACATGTCTTGATTGGTCAAAGAGCAAATCTTGGTACTGGAGAGGAGGACTTTGATCTGATCAAAGGTTATGCAAAAAGTGAGGCTGTGGATGGTTTCGACCCCGGTGGTGATCTTCTTGCTGAAGTGGTGGAAGAAGATCCAACCGTCGTTTTCGCTGGAGAGGAGGAACCTCTTCCTGAGGACGCTGTAGCAGCAGCTTCTCCTGCTGTTGTAAGATCTTCCACACCAACCCCTGTCGCTCCCAAGAAGAGAGCCTACCACCAGCAGCAGAAGAAATCCTTGGTCCCCGACGCTGAAGCTTTCACTGAATACATCAAGACCCAGGCAAAAAGAGAAGACAACCGAGACAAATGGTATGAGAAAAGAGAGGAACGCAACCTYRAGATCTGGAAGGAAGCTTTTGGTACTGCAGAGAAAGTGGCTAAGGATTTCCTTGGAACTGCTGTTAACATGTTCAATACTTGGCATCAGCAGCAACAACAGCAACAACAGCAACAACAGCAACAACAGCAACAACAGCAACAACATTCTTTCCAGCACCAACAACAGCAACAACATTCTTTCCGACAACACTCTTACCACGAGTCTCCACACGTTGCTTCCGCTTCGCGGCCTTTGCAGCCTGCTGCTCCTCCGCACAAACGACAACGCCAGGAGGAGCAAGAATCCCATGGTCAGCAGGAGAAGGAAACAAACAAAGGATGAACTCGTTAAACTAGCATATAAACATGGTACTAAACAATCCTACAATACTGATTAAATGAGCTCAGTTGGTTCAGCAATTCCGACCAGCAATATCAGCAAGCTCCTACGATCTCAGTACTAGTTCCACCAGTTCCTATTGCTTTGTGGTTTTCATGCATACTTCTTATATCTTTTTCCGGGATTACATTTTATGTATATACTGCAATGAAGAATATTCATTGAACCAATGCGTTATAACTCAACATACAGCTATGAGGACTGAGGGGGGTTGGAATGTATGTGTGTGCCGATCAATGACAGCCGTTGGATGAGGATGCRAACCATTCTAATCCCGTTTTCTATACACGAAAACCTGGGTTGTACTGAAATTCCGTAGAAGCCGGTAGTGAAACACTAAGACAGGCAAATACAGCAAGTCGTTGAAACAAGCAAGCTGCTACGAATAAAGCGAGTTACAGCAACAAGCTCGCACTGATTCATTTTTCACGTATTGCAATGATTGAACTGCTGAGTTACTGCTGCTTTTAAACCAAGGTAAGGAAAACAACGTACGATAAGGGGACCATGGCGCTAAGGAGAGTACRGTGAGTACGATTTGTTGACCTGTACAGTGTTCTTTTCGTAACGCAAATATCATTCCTTACTACATTCTTACCAGTCGCAATCTGTTACAATCTGTTCTTTCAGAGCAACCATTGTCTTCAGTTGACCATGGGATTCATGCTAAAGGAAACACTCCATTTCCATCAGGGGATATTTGCCTACCTACTTCGAAGTACCCTGCAACGAGATCCTCCTTCTTGTAAGGGACCTCGATGGAAGCTGGAGGCGTCTTCATGAAGGTAGATAGGATCTGGTTGTGCCCTATAGTGCTGCACTGGAAGTTATACAAGTTGATGAGGAGGTTCATGATGATCCTCCTGTCTCCAAGCTCTTCAAGGAACATTCTGTCTTTAATCCTTGGGAACTGTCCCTGGATCATCCTCATTCCCCATTCAGACATCTGTCTCAGGGACGTGGCGTCCCTATTCAACAAGAGGAGTCGGTTGTTGCTAGGTTCCCTCTGTGAGCTCTTGATTAGGCTATCCTGGTATTCCTTCAGTGCAAAGGCTGAGTCAACAACAACTTTGGCRCCCCTACATGTTTGGTTGATCTCCTTGATCCTTTCATATACACCATAGTCGGCGACTGCACTATCATGCCACGCACCAGGGCAATTGTACACAGCAATCCTGATTCTTCCATCAGGAGCAAAGGCAAACACACTAGTGAGGAAGGTGTTTTCCTTCCAAGCATTGTAGAATGCTTTTTGTTTGTACCAGTCCTCTGACTGCTCAAGGACGCTCTTGAGGCCATCAGCAGCACCCCATACGTGTTTTTCTCCAAGCCTTGGATGCTTCCCTCCAATAGCCTTAACATAACTATCCACTTCTTCCTTTGTTGGGACACTCACCATGGACTCTGGACGCTTGTGAAGAGCAACAAGCATCACTCTCCGTGAAAACTTGAGCCACTTATACATCACTGTGGATGTTAAGCCAAAGGCCATTGCCATTGACCTTGCTACTGAGCTGCGTGTCCTATACCAATACAGCACTAATCCAATGGCACAGACTGCATCAACCTCCCTTTTCTTCCCTTTGGGCTTGCCACTGGGGAACCGAGGAACCTCCACRATCTCATTGTTGTTGTTGACAGTATACTTGTTCCATACTGGAGCAAAGAGGTCAACGAGCTCCCTGAACACATTGTGGTCAACACCACAGCAATTGAGGAGAGCTTGATCAACTCCAGAGTGGAACATGTGGAGGAAGGGGGAACAAGMATATCTCCTGATTGCAATCCTTGGCGTTCTCCTGTCCCTTCGACGTCTCTCTTCTGGAGACAGTTTGCTTTTGTAACTTCTGTGCTGCCCCTCCTCTGCTTTCAACTGGAGGTACCAGTACCATATGATCACTTCCACTACTCCCATTGTCGATGTTGCCTTTTGTTTTGCTGGAAGGAAACTGTTGTCGATTAGTGTGGTGTTTGTCAGATGATAAACCCTAAATCAAGCCGCTCATGCACTACTGGTATTAAGTACAAAATGAGTAGAGCGTGAGTGGCTTGATGTACCGGTTCCATAACGCATAAACTCATTTCAACTTATTTTCTACTGGAAATAAGTAGGAATGAGTTTATGTCTTACTCTAGTTGAGTATCGAAAATTTCATGTTTTACTTAGTACCAAATACCAAAGGGCGCGCATTTTGAGTCTTTTTAGTCTTTACGTTGGAGTATAGTTAAGATTCCAGATTCCAAAAAAGACTGCAATAAAGTCCGGCTTGCTCTCGGTCTGTCCGTTGAATATTTGATTCCTGTTCATAAAAGTAATAAAAATGCCAGATTTACGAGTTTAGCACATCTATAATATCGGGAATCACCCATTATGAACAATGACCACTATCACAAAGTACCTATGTACGTACGTACCGTACTTCGAATCTTTTTTGAGATGGATGCCATTTTTTGTCGACCCAGTTCGTTCAAAAAGGATGAACCTCTGAACGGCGGTATGTGAAGCTGCATCCTCGGTTTCGAATTGGAGAGGCACGGGTTTCTTGCTTCTGAAATCGCCAAAATTGATGGAAGAAGACGAAAAATACGCAGTGAATTTTCAGTGGGTTCCTTTTCGATGTATGTCTCTATTGGGATCTAAAAATATGAATTTATGTCGAAATGACTATTCACTGCAGACATGGTGGTCGCAGAAACAAAGTTAAAGTTTTAATCAACTTACAAAGCCTAATACAACCACATCTAAAAATTGCGTAAAGCCTCTTAATTTTCCAATAAACAGAGAGGCAATATATATACACATATTTCGCTTGCTTTGGGGTAATACCTGTCTCGTCCAAGACTGGCAAAAAGGTCAAAATATTGTACTTCAGTGCAAGTTAATAGTACCCCCCTTAGAAGTAAGTACCGTAATTCGTACCCTGGGTGAATTTTTTGTTCAGTGCCATCAAGGAAAGAAAAAAGAATCTCTCCTGTGATTTCCAGTGTCGCACATGATACAATAGGCTCACATACCGTACTGCTTCAAAGTCAAGTGCTCTTGTCTCGCTTCAAAGTGCACAAAAAGGTATTTTTCGTCACAAACCAAGAGCTGTAGACGTTTCCTCCTTTCATGGTCTTTTCGACGAGAACCAGACCACTGCATTATGGAGGATTTGGGGGAAGGACTTGTCCCTACTTCGTCGAAACACCAGGTGCAATCTCTCGTTGTAGCATTCGAGCAAGGTGAACTTCCTCACTTTGATCCTTTTTATGCTGTTGCCGAGGCGGGAGAAGAAAAAAGTGTAGAAGAAGAAAGGAAAAGCCCAGGAGAAGAACGGAAAACCCCAGAAGATGAAAATAGCAATGCTTTTGACTCCTTATCTGACCTAAGCAACTCCTTGAAACCACGCCCCAACTTTATAGCAACTAGTGACTCTGCAAACACACCAAAATCACGACAGGGTACAATAATAGAAGTATCTCCACGAACACCAAAAGCGACAGGGAAGTCGTGTAGCGACCCTGCTCGAAAGGACCTCGAAAGAAACAATAACAGTTCGCAGGTTCTTAATTCTGGAGACAACAATGATAAAAGTCTTCAAGGGTTGACTAGCCATGAAATTAATTTCGATAATGTCGAAAATAATGTTGACGAAAGTACCAAGGTTCAAATCACAGAGGGAGCTCGTTCTAATGATACCGAAAACAACAGAGACGAAAATCTCGAGGCGTCAGTTACAGAAGAATTCAACGTTGAAACTATTGACAAAAATAATGACAAAAAATTCGAGGTTTCAATCACTGACGAATTCCATTATGATTATATTGAAAAGAATGACTACGGAAATCCTGAGCTGTCAATCACCGATGACTTCAATTTCGATAGTGCTGATGACGAGAATATGGAGATGTCAATTACCGATGACTTCAATTTCTCGACTACTGAAAAGAGCGATGATGAATATTTAGAGGATTTCATTGAAGAAATCAATCAGGAGAATATTGAGATTTCAATAACTGGCGAATTCCTTTTCGATGTGGAAGCTCAAGAACAGTCTTCAATAATTTCATCGCTGCGAGAATCGAGAGATCCTGGAGGTCCGAGCATTTCTTCTTTTAACCCAAGCCTCGAAACTTTTGACAGGGAAGACGATGCAGCACAAAAGTCTGATAGCGAAGAAAGGAAGGTTCTGAAAAGGGGTCTTACAAAGTCGCAATGGTCGAAGTCTGTAGCAGCAGATATTACCTCAACCCCTTCTGCGAACTCGCTAAACAGCGAGATTCGCAGACCCGGATCATCAAAATCTGACGGGAATGATGATATATATAGTGCTACATCAGTACTTAATTTTCGGAAGCTAAAGGCACAACGTAACTCTTTTGTCCGTCGTAATATGAAAGACCCGAGAGAAACTAGCTCGAACGCTTCAAGCCAGCAATCAGTAAGCAGCGAAGGATCAGAAGTTTCAAGTGGTAAAAACAAGCCGCGGACTCGGGAGGAATTGCGAAACAGCCTCCAAAAACAAGTTACAGCGCGCCTTAAAAAGTCAAACGGCGATGAAAATGGGAGTTTTACCGACGATGTAAAGAGATCCATATTAGGAATTGTGAAAGAAGGTAACAGCGATGGAGAAGACGAAGAAAAGGAAAAGGGGGAAGGCGTAGAAGAAGGTTCAGCCACAAGTGAAGATAATAAAGAAAACGAAGGGGATGAAGACGGCGAAGGCGATGAAGAGAAAGGCTGTCTCAAACGGCAATCGGAATGCCTCAAAGATATGAAAGGCAGGGCACTTACACGGCGTGGATACATCAGTTGTATGACCATCTGCATTTTTATGGTTTTGGCTGTGAACATCGTTCTGATCGTTTTTTTGATACGTTGAGCTCCTTTTCGAATTGCATCAAAAGTAGTTGGATTTGAATGGAAGAAACTTCGTAAGAAATAGAGAGAAGTCGAAAAAGTGTGTCGAAGGTTTTGAGATCCGCTCTTCACGCATGTAGATCGAATCCTATGAGTTGAGAATACTCACTATGAATAAGGCTCGGCTTTTTGCTTTTTGTACGTTGTCGAGACGAAAAATTGTAGATAATAATTTTCACTCACGAGATAATATACTCTCCTTCATTGAGCAATCGATCGTTGGGCTGTCACGAATACCCATGTGCTACGAGTTGATTCACTCGTACCGGTACCTAACCGATCGGGATTTTATTGCAGACTTGATTGATAGCAACTCGACCTACAATAAACATAAATCGACCTTCTCCTCAGCACGAATTTACCGTCAAGTGGTTTTCTATTGATTAAAAACTCATACTATTACAATATAAGATATTCATTTTTAATTCCACTGACTGTAATTAATTCGTATTGTCTGAAGGATGATTGAACCTTTACTTCAATGTGTTTTAGTACAGCATGCAGAGAAACGTACATTTTTCCGAAGTAAACAGATCCTTCGCAGAGCAAATTGAAAAGCCGGCACTACAATTGTGTTGTATTCATGATAGAGAGTGACATTACATCTATTGTCTTATGCGATTAATTATGAAGTTACAATTGATGCATGTGACGCAGCGCGAACTAAATGGCGTTTTGTGTTCATCCAAAGCAGTAAGGTTTTGATCAAATTGAGGCATACTGCGCAAATACGTTCAGTTTTGGTTTGCACGTGACATTTGTTTGTAAACATTACATTATATGAACGTCTTTTTCTATCGTGTTTCCTCCCCGTCAAGTTCGTCGATGAAACTCGGATTGACCTCTGTCAGTTCATGTACCAAATAATCATGGTCTTCCTTCTCTATGCTTGCCTTGATTTGTACGAGTTTTGATAAAATGTCAGCTGGCGATCCAGGTGTCAGTTGAGCTTCACCGGATCTCATTGACAACAATGTCGAATCTGTCGTTTCTGGTACTGTGGTTAATGACTTCAGAGATCCACCTTTTGTCAACCACCTCGTAATTCCTTCCACGTGACCAGCTCCCACGATTGCTACAAGGCGATATCGTCGTTGGCTTTTATGATGTACACTGTGTTGTCTCAATAGTTTCCAACAGGTCTGCTGGAGTTTACAAGCCATGTATGCGTCACGTTCTTTTAATACGACCTCTGCGAGAGTAGGAAAATGCTTTGCCAGCTCGGCCACGGACTCTGACATGAGATCGCTATCTCCGTTAAGTATTTTATCCATCCATTCTCGAAGTTCGTCGGGATTTGGTTTTCGTAGCGACGAAATCAGTAACCCAACTAACAATTTTATCTTCCCCCAAACACGTAGGCTTTCCCAACCCCGCGTCAATGTCAACGACACGGGTCGGTCTCCAAGAATCATATGGACATTTTTTTTGCGTTCAACCCTCCGAAAGTTGCCAAAATCGCGTGGAACAGTGTTTTTCCAGTATTGATAGGCGGCAACGAATTCTCCCCCCAGTTCGACCTCCAAAGAGTCGGCAAAGTCTCCCTGCATGTTGGTCAGCAGAGAAGAAGCTATGGAAGACAAGGACCGAGTGTCGACGCGTTTGTTTTCACTTCTTTCACTCTTTTTCCCTCGGCGGAGCATGCCACGCAATTTCGATAGGAACCCCCCATTTTCTTTCAATTCGTTGCTTGATTCCGGTCCCTTCTTCTCTTGTTCCTGCTGTGCGCGGTCCTCCTCGTTTGGTGGTTCCAGCAAATTCAAACGCTGATGACAGAGTTCTAAAAAGATTGCATCTGGTTTCACTGATTCAAGAAGCAGACGAACATCGCGAGAGGAATCTTTCGACACGTGAGCTGTTCCAAGCAAGAACACTTCCACTTCGCAGCTGCTAGGAGGATAGTAGCTTTGTCGGTGATCGTCAGTGGGAATCACGATGCGGCGCAGCGTGTCGGTCTTGTTGTTCAGTGGGAACGGGAGCTGTTGCTTCCAAAATGGGACGTTGTTGACGACATTGCCACGTTGAATCGATGGAACTCCCTTTCCATACGTCGTTGTTGTCACAGTGGCGTTTTTCTTCAGTGCTCCACGTTCCAATTCGTTCTCATTCTGGTCCGTTGCCAACGGCGTCAACGCCGACGGCTGCGAATACGAAGAAAAACTCCCATCGAGGCTGTGGCTCTTTGCAGCGAGGCTGTTGAAGATAAAGACAACACAAACCAAAATGGATAGAGGCCTATTCATGGTAGGTATGGTGATAAGATAGAATCCAGATTTTATTCCCATCGGCAGACACCTTGCAAAAGAGTCGCAGAGGTTTTCGCCCTTTCGAGTCTTCTGTGGTTGTATCTGTAACCGTTGAGCAGCTCAACATTTCCATGTAACCACGCGCGCTTGGTTACTGCGCGGATACAAAAAACTAACACTAACAAACACTAGTTATTTTTTGCTTAAATACACGCACCTCAACAAGTTACAAGTGCGCGGATTGAGTTTTTGTAACCAGAAATTGTAACCAAACCCTTTCCTAAGGAGAGCCCATATTTTCACCACGATAACACTTGTAGTGTGGTTACAAAAAAAAAGGGTCTGGTTACAAAAACAGGCGCACTGGTTCCCTTGTGCGCGCTTGTAACCAGGCGCATGCACCTCAACAGGTACGAACTAAAAACTGTCTTCACTACTGTAAATACGCTCAGTAGTATCAGTACTTGTACATGCTGTATTTTGTACGAGGAGTACTAAAAAATGTAAGCAGTTCCAGTGATACTAAACTTGTCTCGATTGCTATTCCAGTACAAACTCGTGTAGAAAACACCGTAGAAATATTGATTTGCAGGGGGAAACAAGCAAAAAAACAAGCAAAACACCAGCAGGAGGAGAACGCCGTATCGTATCAGCGTCCTCCGTATCAGCAACTCGTATCAGTGTCCTCCGTATCATATCAGCGTCCTCCGTATTATATCAGCGACTCACTCCTCCGTATCGTATCACCAGCGGCTCGCTCCTCCGTATCGTATCAGCGGCTCGCTCCTCCGTATCGTATCAGCGGCTCACTCCTCCATATCGTATCAGTGAGCGTCTTCCGTATCGTATCAGTGAGCGTCCTCCGTATCGTATCAGCGAGGGACAGGGGAGGGAAAAGAGCCCATTACCCTATATTTTGGAGGCAGCAGTGCTGCCTTCGGCACCCCCAGCGCCGCGCAGTAACCAAGCGCCGTGGTTACATGGAAATGTTGAGCTGCTCAACGGTTACGTAAATATCTGTGGAAGAGCTAGCGCAGCACAACAAGTATTATCTTCAGCAACACCAACAACAAGCTCTCGAGCTAAAGCTCTCGAGCTTGTTGGTGGTGTTGCTGAAGATAGTACTTGCAGTAACATCACTTCGATCTCGAGCTAAAGCTCTCGATCTCAGTAATGTCACTGGTGTAACCAAATTGTAACCAGAATTTTGTACCTTGTGGAGTCCGTGTTATTATTACGGGAAAATTTTTGTACCATGCGCTCTCGAGCTAAAGCTCTCGAGCGCATGGTACAAAAATTTTCCCGTGATAATAACACGGACTCCACAAGGTACAAAATTCTGGTTACAATTTGGTTACACGCGCTGCGTGAGCTCCTCCACAGATACTATACATACCRAACAAGCACAAGTAACCAGTACGTACGTACCATCAGATCGTGATCATCATCCATCATYTCGTACGGGGACGTACGGTACGAGTTTAACTTGAGTAAAATTACACCTAGAAATTAACGCAGGAATTTTGGCCCACTACTACTACTGTAACTTCTGCATACTAGTTCTAAGCCGCCAGAGCATCCTTAAGCATCCCAATGACCT